GTCCCACGATATAAAGCAAAAATAAATTAGTGACGCCATCAGACCAAAGCTCACCAGAAGCATGCAGTAGAATCCATGAGAAACAGCATGAGTTTCTGAATCCTTGTCATTAAGGGCGCTTACATTCATATATAAGTAAAAATATCCTTGCACGAGCACAGATCCCGCTAATTTCGCAGAGAAGCAGCCAGTGAGGAAGCTATGGCTATCAAAATCATTACGTTGCTGTAGCTCTCCGGACGAAAATGTTGAAACAGCAAGTGAGTACGGTACAAAATTTGGTGCTCTGTCTTTATCGTCTATACTGTCAACTCTATCAAATTTCGCCATCAAGGGTTTGGACGCAACATGGTAAAAGCACAGGTTAGTATCCAATACTAAAGCTATCACATTGGGACACATGATGCCATGTGCGACACTAGCGAATATGAACCCGGCAACCAGGCTAATTGAAGACACCAAGAGTGAAAATCGAAATGTTGCAATATGTAACATGATTACAGCAAATGACCACAGAACAGCAATGCGCCGCAAAAGGAGCACCCGGTCCCGTACAAGATCACCGAGTAACCCACCAACAAAGTGAATAAAGCCCACATATACCCAGCTTAACAACAAAAGTGTACCAATAGGATGACTATCAAGCCGAAAATATTGTCGTAGTTTGAAGCTGAAGTTTAATATCGCAGAGTGCAGCACCGCGGTACTGAGAAACAGAAGACAATAGGCCAAGGATAAGCTGATGTCGAAATCATTCATTGACATGTCTGAGCCTATTATTTGCCTTCTTTTGTTGCGCTTCTTCATATGATGCAATTCGCACTCAGCCTTGTTTGCATCCATACTAATTTCAGTCAAAACAGGTTGTTTATAAGTCGGTAAGTCATGTGTCACGCTAAGCTGCCGCTTCGACGTATTCTTCACATGGAAATCATCCCATTGTAACTTACTATCTATATCCCAAATCCGACGTCTTGCTTCCATCGAGTCCACAAATTGATTCATGCCACCACCAGCAACAGCCCTCTGTGACTTCGTTTTGTGCCCATACTCCTCATTACACGCCGAAGTAGCATCATGTGGCATTCCGTCCAGATCCCATTTACATTGGTGTTTCTCTTTTTCGGCAATAGTTAAAGCAGTAGGGGTTATTATCATTGTATGAGATTTAAGGGCCGGTAATTTGTTTGCTGAAGTACAGGTCAGTTCAGGTTTGGTTGCTTCAGTTGATAGTGTATTCATGATGTGTAGGCTTGGTCGCCTTTGTCCCAAATTCCATTCACATTGCAAGCCCTCTACATCGGCCTCAGTGGGTCTCCTCCGCGCAAAAGCTATCAATCGCTCTAGCTTTCGTTTGAGATACCACCTTTGGTCAAATCCACTTGTCAAACTTGCTGACATTGTACTGACTGCCGAGTCATGTAGTTGTCTCTCAGGCTTTCGCTGATTTAGATTAGCAGTAAATGCGCCAGGATTATGATCACACAACACATTATGCTCTCGGTTTGATACACCCAGAGCTTTCTTAGCAGAGATAGTTCTTTCATCATCTTGTAGATTCCTCTCCAGCTTCCAGTCTCTATGATGGGCCGGCATTTTTTCCCGTGACCACGCCTTTTGCTGAAAACTTGCATCATTGTTACGCGTTTTTTGGACCGTAGAGCTGTCAAGAGCGCGTTGCCATTTATCAGAGGTGCTTCGAGGTAGTTGCGCTTTCAGCGCCTCAGTATTAGAAAATCCAATGAGAAGAGGCAGTGTCGATTTACCGCTGCGATTCCGCCGAGCTTCTTCTGCTCCTATCGGAAACACTACTTCTCTTGGCTCTTTACGAGCCACAACTTCACCATTTTCCATATTTTTCACACTAGATGGTATTGGTGTGTGCAGCTGAGACCAAGTACACACATTTGTCCCTGTATCAACGACCTCTTCATCAGTGCCTAATGTTGAGCGATAGAGCCACGATTTGCGCTCATCGTCGTCGCTGTCATCTGCTATTAAATACGCGTTCGCCAAGAGCTTCTTGCTTGCCAGGCGAGCCATTTTTTTGCAGCCGTGGTTTAGAATGAACTCTCGAGAGTACACAGCTCGATGAAAGCCACTTGAACGACGAATAAATCCAGTGCCTTCTACTGACTATTTAGAAATTCTTGATACCAAATAGTCAAATGCCATATTGCATCAAGATCACGAAGAGGCGCGCACAAAGTCGAGAAGACGCGACGAACTGCCTCGGATCAGCTTTTTACATAGACTTCCCAGTCGTCAGAAACAAAGCAAGTATGTGTCAAATGATCCACCAGCACCAAGGGCCCGAACCGACACTTGCCCGGACGAAGGAAAGCCACATGTAAGCTTCTATTAACGCTCATACCCGGGCAGATAAGTCTACAGGCGAAACATCGAAAAATTAATCTCTGACTACCTTGATGAAGTATGCGGGCTACATACAAACGTACCCTAGACGATGTGATGTCTCGAATCCTACGATCGTGGAACCATGGCCAGCGGTTCCAATCTCATCTTGTATGGGCAAAACTAGCGTCAAGTCTAAATTCACTCGTGCTGAGCGGTTTGATATCGTTGCACGAAAGTTGGTTGGGGTTCCGACTGATATAGCGGATGAGAGCGGAGCGACTTGCACCTTCAGCTCCGAGTGCTGAAGCACTCGCACAAACTTAAAAACAGCAGGAGGGTCCAACTCTCGCGTTGAATTTCCTGCTAATAGTTGCGCTATGAGCTTTTGAGTGTCACCTTGCCAACTTTTGTCATCGATTGAAAGCGAGGAAATTGAGCGCATAATGGAAAATACAATTGCTCGATGTTCCGTGATAGCATCCATGAAAATGCCGTGGGCTTGCCAAGAGAGTGTTAACAGTGCATGCTGCGGAAAAGAATTGAGTTGTTTGAATTTTTTAAGCGTTGTGCTTGTTGCTTGCTTGTCACTGAGCTTAAATTGTGATCCTTCGAGCAACTCGAATGGCTTGCTATCTTCGACAGACTCGAGCACGTAAAGAAAATTGTAGCATTCTTGCGGATGGAGCACAACAGGAAACGGTACTTGATCGCCACTGACGATGCGAAAGCGACTTATGTCTCCTCTGTCTGACTCATTATGTTGTGGAACTTCGTCGAGATGAAGGTATAAACTTCTAACGGCCAATGTCTTTGTCAAGTGAACATTAAAAGCTCGAGCCAAGATTCCCACACGTCGTCCTGGTAGCTCACGCCTTTCAACCTCAAAATGCAACGCTTTGATGATATTAATTCGCTGTTCCACACGACGAGTCAATTCAGGAATTGGCTCAGCTTGCTTTCTTGTAAGAGACAAAAGCTGCGATGTGGCCCAATCATCTTGAAGCACGGGGGTCGTCCTTGAAAGTTGCTCCAATTGCCCAGTATTTTCACCAACTCCAGGAGCCTTTACTATACTGCTTTTGGGTGTGATGTGCACGATAAGCAGGAGTTCACGGCCCCAAAATTCGTGCCGGATTTTGGGTTTAAACTGCGTTTTAAGAGCTACAACAAAAGCTCTTTCGTCTAAATCATCATATGATACTTGAAGCTGCGATTCTTGACGAAACAACGTGGTGAAAGACGATGAGAAGCTACTTGCGTGAGGGTCTTTCCTTGAAACGTCCACAATCTGAACCTGTACCTGAGCACCTTCACAATGATCACTCCATCGCTGCTTCGAGCTAGAGATTATGTTTTTGGGAGTAGGAGTCTTCGAGCTGCTGGATACAGGCCTGATGTCCGCACGCACTTGCACGTTAACAGCCTCTCCTGAACAAAATTACCACCTTAATTAATACTAATATCACAGCTTAGTAGCTATCAGCAGATCGAGCTTACCTTGAAAAAGCTCTTTGTCGCGAAGATACATTTGCAACCGCGCGCACCTCCATTCGTCACTCCAAGCCATCATGCTAGTGAGAGATTGCATATTAGTGAAAGTCGATAGAAACTCACGAAATTTGGTACTCTATCAAGGAGGGCTAAATGTCAATTCCAAAGATCAGTTACTGTCATATTCAAAAATGCAAAACCACTCATTTTGACCAAAGAAAGACCACGTGCCAGGTGGTTACTATGACACAGCTTCCTCGGAATGCTATTGCAGCAGCATCTCGCTGCTCTGTAGAGTCGACATACCGATCCTGTGGTGCAGTGGTACGGCGCTCACTTCAGAACTGGGAGGTCCAGGGTTCAATCCCTGGGCCGGGTAGAGAGGGGTTAGAGTGTAATGGTTAAAACCCTACAGCACGTGCTTGACATGGCTTACACGACTCCTAAAAAGGGGTGTCGT